GCTAATGCACCAGTTGAACATTGATATTTGTATATATATATATATATATATATATATATATATATATATATATATATATATATATATATATACACACACACACACCAATGCACCAGTTAAACAGTGATAACTGTATCATTATTGTCAAGTGTATGTGTGTGTGTATGTGTGTGCCAGTGCACGAGTTAAACATTTATGTTTGTGTCATTATTGTCAAGTGTGTGTGTGTGTGTATGTGTATAAACGTGTCTTACAATGCACCAGTTTAACATTGATGTGTGTATCATTATTGTAAAGTGTGTGTGTATGTGTATAAACGTGTGTGCTAATTCACAAGTTGAACATTGATATTTGTATCATTATTGTCAAGTGTGTGTGTGTATGTGTGTGTGTATGTATTTGTATGTGTGTCCCAATGCATTAGTTGAACATTAATGTTTGTATCTTTATCGTCAAGTGATTGTGTATGTGTGTGTATGTGTGTGTATGCTAATGCACCAGTTGAACAATAATGTTTGTATCATTATTGTCAAGTGTGTGTGTGTGTGTGTGTGTGTGTGTGTGTGTACGTGTATGTATATGTGTGACAATGCACTAGTTGAACATTGATGTGTGTATCATTATTGTCAAGTGTGTGTGTGTGTGTGTATGTGTGTGTGTGACAATGCACTAATTGAACATTGATGTTTGTATTATTATTGTCAAGTGTGTGTGTTTGTGTGTGTGTGTGTGTCTGTATGTGTGTGTGTGTGCCAATGCACCAGTTGAACACTGATATTTGTATCATTATTTTCAAGTACCTCGTTGACTGCTTTTGGAGAATCCATCTTCCCTTTCGAGTAGCGGCTGGCTGAACGGTTATGAACGCTGGATTCTTATGCGGGAGACTTAAGTTCCATTTCTTGGTAAGGATTTACATTCTTTAATGCATGGTTTGTGTATAATTAGCTTTATTACCCGACACTGCCTGGTATAGTTAAAGAAAATGAGGTACAACTCACGAAAGTTACCCCATCTCGTCAGTTTGCAAGATTTCGTAGGGGATTTCCCAAAACACTTATGTAGTGTAGTGGTGTCGTATGGATCTCGTTTTGAACGTTTTAAGCACATCCATCACTGACGAAAGCCACCGCCAATGATTCGATAATAACAATCCGTCGCGCCTAAAAAACTTCCGTGAATGTATATGTGAGTATATATGTGTTTGTATGTGTGTGAATTACTTGCGTTTGTGTGTATATGTATGAATGTATAAATGTAAGTATGTGGGTGTGATTGTTGGTATGTATGTATGTGTGTGAGCGAGTAAGGTAAATGTGTCAGTGAGTGAGTGAGTGAGTGAGTGAGTGAGTGAGTGAGTGAGTGAGTGAGTGAGTGAGTGAGTGAGTGAGTGAGTGAGTGAGTGAGTGAGTGAGTGAGTGAGTGAGTGAGTGAGTGAGTGAGTGAGTGAGTGAGTGAGTGAGTGAGTGAGTGAGTGAGTGAGTGAGTGAGTGAGTGAGTGAGTGAGTGAGTGAGTGAGTGAGTGAGTGAGTGAGTGAGTGAGTGAGTGAGTGAGTGAGTGAGTGAGTGAGTGAGTGACTGAGTGAGTGACTGAGTGAGTGACTGAGTGAGTGGCTGAGTGGGCATGTGAATATGGGTACGTGTGTTTATGGGTTACATATGTATATGTACGCACGTGAGTGTGCGCATGCATTTTACCACCCATTCTTTTTTCTTGATATTCATAATATTCATATTATTTTTTTTTAACATAGCATGCTTCATTGATCAAATACAACTGCTCTGTGAAAGATGAGTGTTTGGAAAGACCGAATGTAAGACGGGCCTGCGTGTCCATTACAGTGCCTGTTTGGCAATTCTCTGCTGTCTTCTGTTGAGGATATGCCCTGATAACCTGTAACTGGTAATACAAGTGGTTGCCTAGAGGCAATCATTCATTGACTTCTTGACCCCTTATTAATTAATTCGAGTTTTATGTTATTGAGTTTCTTGGGGCATTTCTTTTCGAATACATTTCACTTCGTTCTATAATTTCTATTATAATTTACTGAAAGTGAAATATCATTAGAATTGAAAATTAGTAGTGCTGCGGCTAGACGCATACCTGCCAAGCCGATAGTCAAGAGTTCAAATCCTTATCGATCAAGACTGATTTTTTAATTGACTTTGGCTCACAGGTCGACTCTGCCTAAAATGGGAGGTAAAGACCTCATCACCTATAACACAATAATATTACCTCTTTACCCTTCACGCCCGTCTCTTTTTTACGGTTTTAAGATATCCCGCAGTCCAGTGAAGGGATGGGTGAACAAATAATGAGAAGTTAAACGTTTCCAATGAACATTGATTAAATATGTACTTCTACCTTCTTCTTCTTCTGCGTTCGACATCAGTCATGCTAAACATTGAGTCCCGTCTGGGTCACAAATAGGATTGTGCGTTTGAGGTCGCCACCGGTTCCCCCATAGCTTCTCTTTCAATGTGGCTCCCTTGGGCCAGATCCACAGTACTTCTACCGATTTAAACATTGTTTTCAGCCTCGAATTGAAGCTGCTTTCAATATGGATCCTATGGGTGATTCCTACATCGTTTTATCTCTAAAACACACATGCCCTATTTTCTCTGCTTACTTTCTATTTTCACTTATAATGCAGGAGCCATGTCTTACATCTATTTTACTCAGCAGAATGGCTGCTAATTATCTAGCCACTCTCGTGTAAATCTGTACTGCTAAACGTTGAAAATTCAATTATGCACGAAGAGGAAATATTTGCTCTAAGCGCGCTAGCTGATTCGATGGCTATTCTTGGGTCTTGTTCGTTTTTTTTTTTTTTCATGCAGGCATAGGCGAAGTTAACAGCAAGTAGTAATGACAGTAGCAAACTCGTGAGCCTACTGTTTCGACAGGAGCTAAACACACAACCCTTACAGGAAACAAACACGTTTTCGGGGTTCTTTACACTGATATCTCTACTCCTTTTTATGAGTTTTTATCAATAGTTAAATTGTTTACAGTAATTATAGTCAAGTATAATAACACGTTAACTTGTACATGCGAGTGAAACCTAATCATGTACAGGACGTTCAGAAAATATTGCACCATGTAAATTTTCTCATGAGCTGTGTATTCAAAAAGCATGAAATGTTTACACAGTGTATATGCACATCAGTGTTATTAAACACAATAAACATTAATTCGTACCGTTTTATGATAGCGCCAAAACAGTACGTGCATTCCTAACTCGCACCAGATTTTGTATGATCATGTAGCCAAACAAACGAAAATCAAAGGTTGCTAAATCAGAACTATATGGTGGATAAGGTGGTACAATCCAACACAATTTTGGTGACTGTTTCCTAATTTTTTAATGTCTTAATGTAAGCTTGCATATTTATTGTCTCTTCTCTTGGCATGACATCCACAAGAATAACACCTCCCATGTCCCCAAAACAGTGATTATAACCTTTTCATCTGAAGGAGTTGTCCTGATTTCTTTTTTCTTGTTCACTGTTGATAATGCCACTCCCTTGAATGTCTTTTAAACGGATGGGCCCAGGTTTACACGTAATTACCTTAGCCAAAAGTTTTTCTTTATCAGCATTGAAACTCCCCAAAAATTTCTCAAGAAATTGCTTTTCTAAGCAAATAGGTGGTTATTTGTGAAACATCGAGGGACTAGGCTTGTAAAGTAAAGTAAAGATCCCTTGTCACGCCTTTAGGTGCATCGGGCATGGGAAGAGCACCCATATTTTTACAGACCATTCGGCACTCGGTGGTCAGCAATACGCCGGCCGTCTTTACTTCCCAAAGGACAGCCATCCTGGTACCCATATGAGGCTGGGTCGACCTGGGACGTCGCATACCACGATAAAAATTCATGCAGCCCGCAGTGGATTTCGATCGCGGTACGTTGGATTACGAGACGGACTCGCAACGCCTTAGCCACGGACGCCGCACCAGGCTTGTGCAAACAATAAATAATCCGAGTTTTAATAATTGCATTGGCACTACAATAATGCTGACTAAGAGTTGTCAGTCCAATATTTAAAAAGTGATTCGTCTATCATCCCAGGGATGCGGCAGCCACCCTGAGGTACCTTTACTGACTGTTCCCATGAAGTATAAGGTTAGTTACGTATCCTTTACAGGACATTGCAGAACCAATCCCAACAGCTCCTGGCTGTTGTGTTGTTTTTCTAGGCAAATTTACGTCCAGTAGTTTGTCATTGCCCCTGGAGGTCGGCCCCATGATACCACTGTCGAAACCAACGCAAGGCGCATGGCCCGCAGCTGGAATCAAACATGGTATCCCGGCATTACGAAGCGTTCGCATCGACTTTGCCACAGAGCCGACCATGAAGTGTAACATTATCTTAACCTCGAATATACCGGCAATCTTTAGCAAGTTTCTCTCCGCTGTCTTGTAACTGCGTTAGCGTCTGGAATTCGTAATTATAGAAAGTTCAGTTTTGAAAAAACAAAGTAAACTGAGAATGCCAAGATATGTTAGCAACATCATGACAGCCTACGCATGGAACGCAGTCGTTAGCTGAAATTTAATACATTGTTTTCCCTTTGTACATGTAAATAAAGAGGACACAAACAATATATTGCGCAACTTATTGCCTGGCACATTTCACGCTACATTATCAAGTACACTCTTGAACAGTTTACATCAACGTGTAATAAAGCACACAAATAAATAAAGTAAAAATCACTCAGTTTTAATTGAATCATTTAATCTCATAAAACACTGCACGTATAATTTTTTTTTTTTTTTTTACATAATGCGGAATTAGACATCCTAATAGCTACGGTTTCCGCTAATTTTAGCAGGCGCCTGACCATAAGGTGAAATAGCTAAAGACACAAGTGTTGGGGTTATTCAATAAAATAATACAGGCACCAAGATATGATCAAGTTACAGCTTGACAAAACGTAGTAAGGGTGTTTAAGACAGACTGCTTCACAAAAAGAGACACGGTTAATCCAACTACCACTACGGCTGTGGCCGTGGTGGCGGCTGTGGCCGTGGTGGCGGCTGTGGCCGTGGTGGCGGCTGTGGCCGTGGTGGCGGCTGTGGCCGTGGTGGCGGCTGTGGCCGTGGTGCGTGCTGTGGCCGTGCGGCTGTGCCGTGGCAGGAGTCCCATGTCTCCTCATAGTGCAGTAAAACACTATCGTCTAGAAAAACGGATAAATGATAATCAATTAATTTTTCAATCAATCGTTTATGATGATGATGATATTTGCTTGAATAATATTATTTTAGATTAACGAGGCTTTTAAAACATCATTAAAGCTGCTCTAGGCACTCGTACCTCATTTTCCCCCACCCCCACTCACAATTTCCTGCTGGGCCCAAACAAACGGCTGCAAGTATGTCTGTCGACTCCGTACATCAATGCCTGTCAACCAAAATAGATCCTTGCTATCATCGCTGAAGTGCTGGTCCTGGGCAAGGAGTGGATGGCAGAGAACCGCTAAACATCCCCCAGCGTTTGGAGCATTGGATGATGCTGAAGAGAGGGCCAGACTTCCGGTAAACTATTTTCATGATCAGAATTACAGCACCAGAGAGGATAGGAAAGGTCAACTTTGTGGTTGCAGATAGAACAAGTTAATTTCAGGATTATAAATAGAGAAAATTAACCATAGGGTTTCAGATCGATGAAGTCAACATCTGAGTTTCAGACAAGGTTAACTCAAAGGCTCCAGATAAACAAAAGGTTTAATTCGTGGTTCCAGACAAAAAGTTACCTTCATGGCACTAGATAGAAAAGGTAACTTCAAGGCTCGAAACAGTATGACTTAATTTTCAGGATTCAAGATAGAAAATGTTAATTTCGGGGTTATAGATAGTATAAATTAACATATGGGTTCTTCTTTCTTTTGTCATCAAACTATTAACAATTTTTAGCCCAGTATCGTGTTTTTTTTTTTTTTTTTTAGTGTGCTTGTTGGATGGTTTGAGTGATGGATGTGTTAATCTTTTTTACTGGTTTTAGCTACACCATTTATCGATCTTTTTCTTGGTCTTCCTATCGCCTTCCTCACAGATGTTCTAATGTAAAAAGTCGCATGTGCAGTCTGGTCCGGTTGCATTTTCACTACATAGTCGAACCATTTCATTCATTGTCGTTCAGTCTAATCCAGACATGGTCTTATTCAAAATTTCTCTCTAATGCTGTTATTCGTAACCCTGTCTCTTCTAGTGTTGTTTAGCTATCCTTAACGTTTGCCTTTCTCGTTTAACGTTGCCGCCCTGATGTTCAAAAGGGTCTGTCCCATAATAATTCAGTGTTTCTTGAGTTGTAGCAGTAAAAAAAAAAACAGCAGCCGGCTTGCTAGGCCCGTCGCGTGGAGGCTCAGGATAAAAATCTGGCCCTGTTGGTGCCCGCCTCTTTCCAGGCCTTGTTAGCCTGAAATCTCGCGGCTTGACTTTTCCGGCGTGCACCGCGCAGAGGTGGAGTTGACCTAGGTCCTCTACGGGTAATTGGCAGCCTACTTAAATTTCACTTTCCACATCTCCGAAGAGAAGCTAATCAACTTCAACACTGCTGGATACAGTGCCACGCACATAAGCACGACCATAACACTTCTGGATTCACGATATAAATAGTTTACCTCAGGGTTTTAATGACAACATTCAAAACTCTAAGATTAAATGCAAACTTTGTGGCTCCAGAGAGAGAAGAGATGATTTTAGGGTTTCGGACACACACAAAAAGATTACTTCAGGGTTTAAGATATTATAAGGTAACTTAAAGATCCCTGACATTATAAGTTAACCCCGGGTCCTCAGAAGTACAATTCAGCTTCAGGACAGTATAAGTTAACTTCAAGATATCTGACAGTATAAGTTAACTTTAGGTCCTCAGAAGTACAATTCAGCTTCAGGACAGTATAAGTTAACTTCAAGATATCTGACAGTATAAGTTAACTTTAGGTCCTCAGAAGTATAAGGCAACTTCAGGACAGTATAAGTTAACTTCGGGTCCTCCGAAGTATAAGCAGCTATAGGACAGTATAAGTTAACTTAAAGATCCCTGACAGTATGAGTTACTGTAGGGCCTTAGATAATATTAGTTAACTTCAGTGCTAGAGGAAGTGTAAGGCAACTTTGGTGCTAGAGGAAGTGTAAGGCAACTTTGGTGCTAGAGAAAGTGTAAGGCAACTTTAGTGCTAGAGGAAGTGTAAGGCAACTTTAGTGCTAGAGAAAGTGTAAGGCAACTTTGGTGCTAGAGGAAGTGTAAGGCAACTTTGGTGCTAGAGAAAGTGTAAGGCAACTTTGGTGCTAGAGGAAGTGTAAGGCAACTTTGGTGCTAGAGAAAGTGTAAGGCAACTTTGGTGCTAGAGGAAGTGTAAGGCAACTTTGGTGCTAGAGGAAGTGTAAGGCAACTTTGGTGCTAGAGGAAGTGTCAGGCAATTTTAGTGCTAGAGGAAGTGTAAGGCAACTTTGGTGCTAGAGGAAGGGAAAGGCAACTTTGGTGCTAGAGGAAGTGTAAGGCAACTTTGGTGCTAGAGAAAGTGTAAGGCAACTTTGGTGCTAGAGGAAGTGTAAGGCAACTTTGGTGCTAGAGGAAGTGTAAGGCAACTTTGGTGCTAGAGGAAGTGTCAGGCAATTTTAGTGCTAGAGGAAGTGTAAGGCAACTTTGGTGCTTGAGGAAGTGTAAGGCAACTTTAGTGCTAGAGGAAGGGTAAGGCAACTTTGGTGCTAGATGTAGTGTAGGGCGACTTTGGTGCTAGAGGAAGTGTAAGGCAACTGTGGTGCTAGAGGAAGTGTAAGGCAACTTTGGTGCTAGAGGTAGTGTAGGGCGACATTGGGGTCCCAGATAATGTAAGTTAACTCCATGATTTCATGGTTGTAGATTGGGAAAGTGAACTCAAGATAGCCACATTTCACTTGGATGTAACAGATTTTAAAAGTCAACCTCATGGTTACAAATACTAAAAGTTAACATCTTTGCTCTAGACAGAACAGTTTGCACGAGGGCAGAGATATCGTTGAGCAATAATTTGAAAAAAACAAACCTTCAAAAACATTCCATGACTTGTTTCTTTTTAATGTATCGAGAGCTATTCCATGATCTACAAACATAATATTCAGTTTCTATTTATATTCAATAGCTTTAATAGTGCAAATAATGCATCCTTTTCCTCTTCTTCTTCTTCTTCTTCTTCTTCTTCTTTTTCTTCTTCTTCTTCTTCTTCTTCTTCTTCTTCTTCTTCTTCTTCTTCTTCTTCTTCTTCTTCTTCTTCTTCTTCTTCTTCTTCTTCTTCTTCTTCTTCTTCTTCTTCTTCTTCTTTTCTTCTTCTTCTTCTTCTTCTTCTTCTTCTTCTTCTTCTTCTTCTTCTTCTTCTTCTTCTTCTTTTCTTCTTCTTTTCTTCTTTCTTCTTCTTCTTCTTCTTTCTTCTTCTTTCTTTTTCTGCCTTTCTATCCCCCAATGGAGCATAGGCCCTTAACCAACTCACGCCAAGTAGTTCTATTATTCGCCATTGCATGGAGCTCTCCCCACGTCCCCCCCCCCCCCCCATCTTTCTAACTTCGTTCTCCAGCTCTCTTCTCCGTGTGTTTTTTTTTTTTTTGCCTTCCTTTATTCGTATGCCCCTGTGGGTTCCAATGCAAAGACATTCAAGTTATGCTGTCCTGTTTTCTCAGTGTGTGTCCTATCCAACGCCAGCGTCTTTTCCTCACCTCTTGGTACACGGGCAATGATTTTATCAGATTCCATGAACATGCTTCAGAAGATATCAATAGGCGGTATGCGCTCTGAATGGGTAGAAAGCATTCGAAAATCGCACTTAACCTCTCTTACCTGGATCTAAACACCTTGTTTTGCGGGCGTAAAGGATAATAAGCGAGCTGACCAACTGGCAAGCAATACACCAACGCATGTAAGAAGAAGCGTGGACAAATCAGATAGCATCAACTAGGCTAGTGAATAATGAGTAATTTCTGACACTTACCCGATTGCGTGACATGGAAGTAAAGCATGGTGAAGCCCATCTATGCCGAGATAAGAGATAGTATAATGAATTTCTCATGAGAACAATTAGTAGAAGTACCTTGGAGTAGCTGCTGCATCGGAAGACTGAGCACACAGGGGAATAACTTATGTGCATATACGTTCACTGTGATAACATAACGCAAGGCGTATTGGAAATTAAGGGCTAGACCTATAATTTTATAGACCGATCAGCACTTGGTGGATGATGTGGCCGCCTTTACTTTCTAGGGCTGTGCCGAATAGTGATTTTTACTATTCGGTCGAATACGAATAGTTGGAGCAACTATTCGGCCGAATACGAATAAGAATACGAATAGTGAATCATCATCATCACGTGCTTTGCCAATTGGCATGGGTGATTATGCCTCGCCACAATCTGCGATCTCCTGCAGCATGTATTAGTTCGTGTGCTGACACACCTCGCTGCCATGCAACAAGACTATCAAGAATCTTCTCTCGTTGTCTTCCTCTATCCCTCCTTCCACATATCTTTCCAGTGGTCACCACATGTTCCATTTTCCCTCATCTTATAACATGGCCAAACTAGAGCGCATACAGAACGCGGCTATGCGGATCATTCTGGGTTGCACCAGAGACACCGCAGTGGTGTGTATGCGATACATCATTGGTTTGCCGACGATTGCAGGTAGGCACAAGGTGCTGCAGGCGAAGTCGTATCTCAGGGTAGCTGCAGACACAGACCACACTTTGCACGAATCTCTGGGTGCAGTTAAGGGTCAGCGGCTGATAAGAGGGGGATTATGGATGGATCAGGAAGAAGACACAATCAGACAGGTTTGCATCCTTGAGAACATTATGTTAGGAAAGGAGTGGGTCAATGTGCCACCTGAATAGTTTGACTTGTGTAGAGTCATAATCATGCTAAGCCGGGAATTCAGAGACTGGCCAGAAAGTGCAACGGAGGTGGAAATTCAGCAATTAATTCAAGATAATGCTCGTTCGGAGGATTTGATCATTCACACAGACGGTACAGTGTCAAGAGGCAAAAGAAGTGCTTGGGGATTCTTAGCAAAAGTTAATGTTCGACGTTTGGTGCAGGAAAGCCTAACATATGATACCACAACATCCAGTTTAAGAATGGAGGTGGAGGCGGTCACTGCAGCTTTCCACTGGCTAGAGAACACCACACACACACACACACACACACACACACACACACACACACACACACACACACACACATCGTGATTGTAACTGACTCAGAAAGCATGCTAACGAAG